TTGAAGGTTGTAGCATCCACATCCTCTCCATCAGAATCATAGTCCAACTTCTAATTCGTATCAGCAGGTGTGATAGAAACTTTGCAATTCTCTAGCTTAAATCTCTTCAGAAGCTCAAGTTCATACTTCATTTGATACAAAATGATTCCTTTCTCAGAGTACATAAACTCCATCCCTAGAAAGAAACTCATTTTCCCAAGATCTGTCATCTCAAAATCATTCATCAGAACCTTCTTGAACTCAACTATCTCTTGGTGAGAACTTCCTGTGAGAAATATGTCATCAACATACAAACATACCAGAATCATATTACTTTTTGAAGTATGTTAAACATAAACACCATACTCCATCTCACACTTCTGAAACCCTTGTCCCTTGAAAAATGAATCAATCTTCAGATTCCAGGCTCTGGACGCTTGTTGATTCTTTTCCTCAAATCCAGGAGGTTGTGACACGTATACCTCTTCTTATAATGGACCGTTCAGAAATGCATATTTTACATCTAAATGCATCAGAGGCCAATTCGTGTTAGCAGCTATTGCAATCACTAGTCTGATTGTTTCATGTCTTGCTACAGGTGCAAACACTTCAGAGTAATCCAGCCCAGGCTTCTGTAGAAAGCCTCTTGCTATTAATCTTGCTTTGTATTTGCCAATTGATCCATCTGACTTTAGCTTCTGCTTGAAAACCCATCTAATGCTGATGGCTTTCTTGCCTTTTGGAAGTTCTGTCAGCTTCCAAGTCTTGTTTCTCTCTATAGTATCAAGTTCTTCTTTCATGGCCTGCAACCAGACTTGCTGCTTAAGAGCCTATTCCGTACTCACAAGTTCAGAATCTAGTAACATTGCACACTGAATAACTTCTCCTTCAGAGTCTGCTTCAGTGTCTTATAACATGTCAAACTCTGCAAATCTTCTTGGGATGCTTCTGACTCTATGTTGTCTCTAAATTTGAACTTCAAAACCTCAGACACCAGAACTTTCCCCTTCAGAAGCTTTTACTTCAGAAAATGGACTTTCTCCAGAACCTTGTCTGCCTTCAGAGTTTGGAAAATTCCCATAGTCTGAATCACCATCGGAGTCAGAGTCACTACCTTCAAAAATACCATCTTCAAAAGTTGGATCACCTCTGCCTTCATAAGTTCCACTTTCAGAATCATGATCACCGTCAAAGGTTGAGTTTCCTTCAGAAGCTCCTCCTTCAGAAGGTCCGTCCTTAGAGTCATGATTTCCACCAGAAATATGATCATCTTTAGAAGCTTGCCCTCCAGAACCTACATCTTCAGAGTTTTCTCTTCTAGAAGCATGATCACCACCAGATTTTGGATAAACATCAAAATATAGATCAGAATCAGATTCACCATCTGACTCACCTTCGAAGTTTCTAGAGTCATCATTTTCTGACTCATCTTCAGAATCTTCAGCGTCATCTTGTTCCTGTTCAGAATCAAAAAATGATAATTTCACCGGTTCCTCATTAGATTCATAAGCCATAAATAGCACATGTTCATCATCAGAATCTCCTTTTGATATATTTGCTTCTTCTGACTTCCTTTCTTTGTTTGACCAACAATCTTTGGCATAGTGACCAAAGTTCTTGCAATAGTAACACTGAACATTCTTCTTGCCAAACTTCTCATTTCCCTTATGGATATTCTTCTGCCTATCAGAGTTTGAAGCTTCTGATCTTTGACCACCATTAGTTTTCTTCCTGGCTTCTGACCAAGTCTGCTTTTGATACTTCTTACCAGAAGTTACTTTCAGAGCCTGCCGCTCTACTTCCCTCTCAGAAGTTCTCTCAATCATACTCAACTAATGCGCCTCTAGACTACTTTGCAACTCTTCAACTCTCATGATGCTCAGATTTTTGAAATGTTCAATTTCTACCACAATGTAATCAAACAGAGAAGTTAAAGATCTCAATATCTTCTCAATGATTACTTATTCAGAAAGAGTTTCTCCACAAGCTTTCATCTTATTAGTGATCAGAATCACTCTAGAGATGTACTAAGAAACCTTCTCATTGTCCTTCATGTTGAGATTCTCACATTGCTTTCTGAGAGACTGTAGCTTCATCTTCTTCACTGATGCGTCACCACCGTAACATCTGACCAATGTGTCCTATGAAATCTTTGTTGTTTCAGAGTTAGCAATCTTCTCAAACACATTCGCATCCACACATTGATGGATGTAGAATAACGCCTTCTGATCTTTCTTCCTTATCGCCTTCTGCGTCATCTTATGTGCCTTTGTTGCGTCTGCTACTATCAGATCATAGCCATCTTGGTAACAAGATCTAACATATCTTGAGAATCAAACAGCACATGCATCTGGATCTTCCAACGATTCCAATTTTTTCCATCAAATACTGGAAGTTTGGAATTGATATCACCGTTTCCGTTCATCTTCAACCTTGTGCAATTCACTAAAAATAACTCACTAAAAATAGTGTTTCTCAAATTGCACATAATCATAAAAATGTGATTCTCAATCACATAACACCTTACTGTTCACTTGTGTTTCCCGTGTTTCCCCATAGATTTCGAACCAGAGCTCTGATACCAATTGTTGGTGCACAAAGGAGAGATGAAAGCCAAAAGGAATATATTGAATGACGGCTACAAAATAAGGAATAATTAATTACATTGACCTACCTACTACTAGGCTATTTATACACATAATTAGGATATAATAAAATACTAAAATACCTTTTAACAAACTTAATCAATAAGATATTCTTAAAATATAAATTAATCCCAACAGTCCTCACGAGTAGCCTTAACCATTACACACAATTATTTGTGTTTGGAATCACTTGATCAACAAGTGACATTAGAGTTTAACTCCTGTTATAAGACAAATAATCTCAAGAAAAGAGTGTGATAACATCAAATATTTCTTTTAACAAGATACCTTTTTTATAAATACACCTCCACCCGTTTGATTATGAAATATTTATCATATGGAAATCAATAAAATTTATTTATGTGGAATCTATTGATGTTGGTTTGTAGGAGTATGTTTTAGAAGGTCCTTTTGTTCATACTCATTTTGTTAAAAATGAAGTAGTGAGAAAATATAGCAACACGGGGATCATAAAATAAAACAAAACATAGCAATATGTGAACCATGAATAAAACAGAAAAGTGCAACAAGAGTTTAAGGGATATGAGTTCTACTACACTCATATTTTGTTGGATTCACACATTCGACATTTTTTATATCGTTAGATCAAAATTAAATAGTTTAAATTTAAATACTATTTTTAAATAATAAAAAATAAAAAATTTTAACAAAATTTTAATCATTTGATCTTAAACCAACGATAAAAATAATACAAAATGTGCGAATGCGTCAAATTGGTGACTCCAATAAATAGTGGTTAGGTTTAAAGCTAACTATTCAAATTGGTGACTCCAATAAATAGTGGTTAGGTTTAAAGCTAACTATTTAATGATAAATATGTTAAATACTAGAGAATATAAATATGTTTATAAATATAGTAGTCCTAAAGAAGTGGGAGACACTATTAAAACAATCTACGAGATTAAGTGAGAAAGGATGAACACACTTTTATAAGAAATTGAGACAACAAGTGGTAATGAAGAAAATCTTCAAAGACGGTTCTCAAAAATTAAATTTTTTGGAAATAATTTCAAAAATGTTGAAGCTTAAAGAATTAATCCAATTTCTCAAAGAAGAAAATTCAAATGCATCTAAAGAATCATATAAAGAATCTTCTCAAAAGCTTGATAGAGAATAGACTCTAAAAACTCTGATTATTCTTGATCATCTTGAACCTTATTATTTTAGCAAAGTTCATGACTTAATATGGTCTAAAGGATCTATCTCCAATGATCCAAGATATCTTACATACATTAACTCTAAATAACCCAAAAAGATTTGGACACCTAAGATAAAAACCTAATTTATTTTTGCATAAATGCTTTGCAGCATTAGTAAATCCCCTCCATATTAAAAAAAATATGCACAAATGATATATTCAATATCTTCTCAAAGAAAGATAATCGTATGTTTAAAGATTTATTTGGAAGTGTCTCTGTGGCTAAAGAAATCTTTGGAAGAAATCCCAATAATTTTTTTTTTATTTAAGTTTCTTCTTGTATCAAACGGTTTAGGGAGATATAAAAGAAAGAGAATGAAGTTTAGTTCAGAATAGAACAAAGAAAAAATAATTCTTCTCAAATTTATTTGTGGTTTAACGTAATTCACTTGGTAGAGAATATATTCCAAAAACTTCGATTATACTTCTAACAAGTTCTAGAATATTCCACTTTATTTTAGTTAATTTTTCTACAAATCATTTGGAGAAAATGAAGATTTTGAGCTAAAGGGGGTCAAAATCTAAAGAGCAAGGTACCAAAAGAAAATATGGGACCCAAAGGCATTTTAAGCCCAAAAAAACCAAAGAAACTAAACAAATTCACCTTTTAATTGATTGAACCAAATGGTTAATCGGTTAAGGAATTTTAAATTTCAAATCTAACATATCTTAATCGATTAAGCCAATGATTTTAATCGTTTAAAACCTAAAAATCTGCCACCATTTCAAACAACCAATTAGGAAATGATTAGCATTAATATCATAATCGGTTAAAATAATATTTAGTAGACTAATCAGGATCTATAAATAAGTATTTCCTTTTTCATTCTTATTCATTCCTCCAATTCTCTTCTTCTTCTATACTCTTCTTGTATTCTTGTGTTCTTTGTGCTACTTGAGTGTTCTCATCATGACCATTACTAATAAATTGACACCAAAAAGAATCTGCACCGCCAATAATTCATCTACTTCAGCCTACATTTCTAGAGCAAGATATCAACTTCATTAAGCACTTCACCGACCACTAATTCATCCTCACTCATTATATAGATGAGAGCTTCTTTGAGAAATTTGAGTTCTTCAACGTCTTTGATCAAGCCAAATTAAGGAATTTCATTTTCAACAAGTCTGGGAAAATTTTACTAAAGCTACTAAATATGCTTTATGCTTATCTCCACTTCAAGGATGGTAAAATCACAAGAAAGATACGTAAGCCTCGAATTTCTCCTTCTTTTGAAGAATTCGTCGTGGCTTGTGATTTACCCACCTCCAAATGTCTCTACACCTCTGAGGCTCCTAGTTTCATAGAGGACTTTGACTTTCTCTCTCATCTCAAACTCTTTTTTATTAAACCATCTATAGGTCACAAATTCCCTCTTACTATGTGGTTTGATACTCTAAATGCTCGTCTCATTCTTTATGTTGTTACTCATGTGTTGATCTCTAGAAAGTTAAATGTTGGGATGATGTCTAAAACCGATGTGGTGATCACATGGTTACTTGTCAATAACGTTGAAATTAATTGGTCTAGTGAGGTACTCAAACACATGATGGAAATCTATAGAAAGGTAAACACATTATTTCGACGTGTTTGATCATATGGTGATTATTAGTAACTTTTATCGCATGTTGGATTCGATTGGATTAAGTGTTGCACTAGAATTGGGAAGCACACCCTTAGTCAGATGCAAATCTAGTATAGTAATGAAGTTTTAGTCCATAATTGTCTCAAGGCAATAAAGAAAGCTCCCTAACATCAGCATCAGACATTTCAACAAGGGGAGTTAAAACTCTCAAATGGAGTAGATTATACTCTTTTTATCTATGAGAGAGAGAGAGAGAGTTAACTACTCTAATATTTATATCTATCTATTTTTCTATTTTACCCTTTCTTGAGAGATGTGTTGTCATCATCAAAAGGGGTAAAATCTGGATCTATATGATTTGCATGTATAATTATCATCTAGTTTCGATGATGTAAATTTTCAAGCGGTTCAAAAGATGATAACTCCATAAGTTAAATAGTGTTTTTTTGTTAATGGTTCAAGATGTGACATTTGTCAAAGGGGGAGTATATTGAAATTATCCAGTAGTTCTTGATGATAACATCCAAACAAGATACCGCAAGCCTCATCAACCAAAGATATCAATTTATAGTTAAAAGTGCTAGACATTGTTGAATCAAGCAAGGAACTTGAATACTTTAAGACTTGAAACTATGGTTTATAATACTTTAAGACTTGAAGACTTGAAGTTGTGAAAAGTATGAAAGTTTTCCTAGTCACGCGCTTAGGGTTCTTCATAATCTTGATGAGTTTATCATAAATGTGAAAAAAGCAAGTCTTGAGGTACTAAGGCAATGCGTACACACATGATAATTTTAAAATCTCTTTTCTCTTTTGATAAAATATCTTAAAACTATTTCGATAACACACTTAATTGATTAGAATGTTAACAATGGTCAATGAATTACGAAGGTATTTTACAATGGCGAAGACTTTGTCACAATGGCGTCCAATCAAAAAGTAATAAAACTCATTTTCACTCTTTTATTGTCATTGTCGCGTCCAATCATATTTGAGTGAAGACCTTGTAAGTTCATAAAGATCAAGAGTTGTGCACTTAGTATCATGCAAAGTATCTAAAAAAATGACATCCAATAAACTTTGATGGAAGACTTGGTAAATTCTCAAAAATCCATAAATGAGTACTCAGGGTCATACAAAAACACCTTAAACAAACAATGGATATATTTCATTCAATAAAAAGTATTTCCTACATATTTTTATGTTACAAGGTACTATCAAATAAGTATCACAAAAAGGAATAAAGGCCCCAGCAGACCTACATTCGCAAAGAAATGATCTTCCCATCTATGACAGATTGATCCGACCAAGTTTTCTCCTTAAAAAGTGTCAAAGGCTTGTGAAAATACTCTACTTGATCAAAAGCATTTTCAAATGATCGCGAAAGTGCCTCAAGGGTGGAACTCGTATAGTCATCCAACTGTTGGGCAAATAAAGCATCTTGAGAACACAAGAGTTCTAATTCTTTGTGAGCACACTCCACAATGTTTTGAACAACAAACATAGATTGATCTTTCATCGCCATAATCCTCACTAATTAAGTCATCTACTCAGAAACATAACTAGCGAATTTCAAGGGAAGTATATCATTTTCACCCTAGATATAGAGGTGAAAGCTTCCTTTGCTTCATGCAGGTACCTATCCTGTTAAAGTTTCAAGTCACAGACATTATCCTCCATCAGTTTCTATTCAGCCCGATGCCAATCGGACCAGAAACCCTCATAATGACCGAATTAACCAAGGGCCAGGGCAGGCGAGGCACACCAGGTATACATGGCTAAGTTGCCCATTTCTTCCTCCAAAAAGGGCTCAGAAATCCTAGCCAAGTAAGCCTAGTCCCCATTTAAAGGAGGGGGTTGACAACCTTCGATAGAGCGAGAGCCGAATCCCATCAGTAAAAGGGAAATAAGTATGACCCATGGCATTCAATAAAGTGGCCAAGTTCTCCGCAACGACATTATTTCTGACCGACCATACCCATTGCCTTAGAAGCCGAAATGACTCTTCATTACCTATGCACTCTGCACATTAACGAATAAAACATATACATCAGAGGCATGCAGGTTAAACTGTATATTAATAAGATGCTTTAAATGTTTATTATAAACCTTTATCATTTGTTGGCTCCTAAATTCGACACCCATATTTATTATCATATAGACCATTAAGTATGAGTCAAAAGAGTTTCCTACATAAGAAGGCTTCGACCAACTGATCATGTCGAAGACTCATCAAAGAATGACAAGATACTTAGAGAAATTCCTTTAAGTTGGAATCTTGTTGTCTTCGACGTCGAAGGAACCTCTCGACAAAGGTACCTGATGCCCAAGGTCGAACGGTTTGAGATTTGAATTGTTGGAGGGAAAACGGTTTCCAGCAGTTACCAAGTGCAACGTGCCGAGAACAAAAGCGTCGAAGGCTGTGAGCATGCCATGTGGCATCATCTCGAAGCAGTGTAACTGCCCAGCGGTTACTTAGGATTTGTTTTAGTATAAATACTAAGTGTTCACGTAGTTTTCGCGTGTGTTCATCATTTTATACAAGTCACTCATTTAGATTCAAGTACCCAGCGTGAGAGAAAGAATCATTGAGAATGTATGTGTGAAACACCATTTAAATTAATCAAGTCTTTTATATTCAAGCAATTTATCGCTTTTCATTTACTTATCTCCGTCGAAGCCTTTTACTTAATGCTTTTATTTACTCTATCAAGCTTTTCTTCATACAATTTACTTAAAGTGTCTTTACTTTACTAGCATTAATCACCATTAGGATTAGTCAAACTCCAGAAAATCAACCATGTCTTAGGATCAATCTGATCGATCCTGCTAGTCACCAAATAAGTAACCTTTTGGAAGATCAGTGGTTGTTTACCATTTTTCAGAGTAAACAAATTGGCACACCCGGTGGGACCTTGTGTTGATTTTACGATTGAACGTTTTATATAAAATATCCTCCTGTTTCGAGAGTATTGCATGTTATTGAGAAGTGGTAGAATATACACCAACGAAACCAATACTAGGAGAAGAAGTGAAGAAATGGCAAATCCGCCAAACAACGGAGAAATCCCACAGACAAACGTGGGAACAACGGTTATCCCAACCGTAAGTGAAGTGGTAACTGCTGGTTCAACGCCAGCAGTAACGATTACTCAAACGGTGCCATTACCTCCATTTACAGGCCCCAGAATGCCTTTGGGAACTCCCCCACCAAGGGGAAACCAAGGAACTAGGCCATATGTTCCCCCAGGCTTTTCGACAGTCGGTTTAAATCGAGAACCACCCTATGGCATGCCAACTTCTGAATTGGCTAGCTTGACGAATGCTACGTCCACTTTTTCAGACCCTTTAGTGAGCGCCTCTTCGCCACTCCAAGGCTCTGGAGTTGGTATGGCGAACAGGGATAGGACCCAACTCTTAGGAGGAACGTCCCAAGTAATACATGGCCTTACGAATGCCTCGACAGCAGTCTTGAGGCAGCAAATGGACGAAAGCAACCACGACATGGTTCAGATGTTGGCACAAACTTTAAGTACATTGATAAATCCTCTAATACAGAATACCACCCAGTCGAATTAGCAAATGTCAGCGCAAATGTCGCGTCTAGCTGACTTTTTTGGGGTACCCCAACCTATTCAACAGCCCCAAAGGGCCCAAATAAGGGGAAACCAAGGTATACTCCTAGAGGAAGAAACCACTATTAACCAAGTCCAACAACCTGTCGAAGAGAACCTTAGGGTACAAATGGAACAACCCGGGGTCGAAAAGCCTAGAGTTATAGCCCCAGAAATAAGGATGGTTAATAGAAACCAAAATGCTGACGAAGTAGTTTAGCAGATCCAATACCAGAATGTTGGTTTGGAAAATAACTTGACAGCCATGATTGAAAGAATCATAATGCAAAATGGGATGAATACGGGCTTTCGTAGGCCCAACTTTACATCCCCGTTGTTGGAATATGTGTTACAGATGGACTTGCCTCCTAGATGCAAAGTCCCTAAGTTTACTAAGTTTTCAGGGGACACGACAGAATCCACTATCGAACATGTGGCAAGATACTTAATCGAAGCAGGAGAAATTTCAAACAATGAGAACCTGAGGATAAAGTATTTCCCAAGTTCCCTAACAAAGAATGCGTTTACTTGGTTCACAAATCTCCCCCCCCCCCCCCCAATTCGATCCACCATTGGACCCAGTTGGAGAGATTATTCCATGAGCAATTCTACATGGGACAAACCAAGATAAGCCTGAAAGAGTTGGCCAGCGTAAAGAGGAGATTCACTGAGCCTATAGACGAATACCTAAATAGGTTTAGATTGCTCAAGGCAAGATGCTTTACGCAAGTTCCAGAACATGAGTTAGTCGAAATAGCCGCAGGAGGTTTAGATTACTCCATTAGGAAGAAATTAGACACTTAGTACCTGAGAGACATGGCCCAATTGGCCGATAGGGTTCGACAGGTAGAACGCCTTAAAGCTGAAAAAGCCAGGGCGACAAAAACTCATAAAAAAGAAAGGATAGCGTATGTCAAAATGGACGATGAAGATCTAGAAACATTCGACGAACCTATAACCGTCGAAGAAAGTGAGGTCGATTTAGCTGAGTTAAAACAAGGGCCACCATACTCTTGCAAGCTACTAATCCCCTCAAGTGGAAAAAACCCCACTGGTTCTGAAAAGGCCAATGATAGGTTCCCTAAAAAGACTTACAATTTTGATATTACGAAATGTGATGAAATTTTTTATTTACTTGTAAAAGACGTCCAAATGATAATACCCCCAGGGGTAAAAGTGCCTCCTCTTGATCAAAGAAAGAAAAGAGGCTTTTGTAAATATCATAATTTTCCGGGCCATAAAACATCTCAATGTTTTCTTTTCAGGGATCTCGTACAAAATGCTATCGAAGAAGGGAGGTTGAAGTTCGCTGATAAGACCCCCATGACTGTGGATTCTAACCCTGTGCAGGCAGAAGCCCACTATGCTGAAACTTCAGAGGTGAATGTGATCGAGGCTTCCAGGAGTCAGGTGAAAAGGCCAGGAATAACTATGGTCGAAGTCACCAAAGATCATATCAACATGCCAATCTTTGGCAGTTTTTCTGGGAGTCTTTCTAGAAAGACAATCGAAGCAGTCCAAAAAGCTGCTGAAGGCCCAAAACTGGAGACAGGTGGAGCCTCAAAATCTGGAGCTAAACCCATTTCCTACTTGGCTGCAGCGCAAGGCCAAACATAAGACCTGGAGGCCCAAATGAAGCAGATGACTCTTACTACTAAAGACATCATGAATGTCAACATGGTCGAAATCTCTGAATCAAAAGTTTCAGAGGAGGCCATTAGGCAAGAGCAAGCAAACAGAACGGCTTTCCCTCGGGAAAACGTAAATCTGGCAGAATTCTTGCAAGGATGCCAGAAGAAAAAATTAGAAGTAATGGTGTGTCCTCGATGCAGCTCTATTTTGACAAGAAAGCTGCTGAACACATCGAAGGTGTGAGAGCAGCAAACAAAAGAAGGGAAGTGTTGTACCCCAAAATTTGCCCTCCCTTTTTCTCATATGATTTCTCATCACAGAGCCCTTGAAGCTCAAGATCCAGTTAGGGTTTCATCTGCTCAAGACTTCTCCTTGCACTGTTGACCCAAATTAGGGTTTGTGTTTGCACAAAGATGTTTTGACCTAAATTGCCTAAGATGACTTTCATGCTTCATATTGGACTCTCAAGTTTATCCATATCAAGTTTCAAGCCTTGATTCCCAGTTTTGCCCAGTCAATTGGACAGTTGACCTAGAAATCAACTGTATTGGGGAAAAAGTCAACTGTGGCCAATTGACAGTCAAATCTTATGAAAATTGACCCACATCAACATTATGAACTCACATGGACCATTTGATCAAGTTTGGATCACAATTCCACAAGAAATTTGATCAGATCACCAAAAGGGCAAAATGGTCATTTTTAGGGTTTTGACTGCACAAAGGCAATTTTTGACTGTTTGACCTAGCCAATGGAAAACCAAGCTCACATATGGACTCAAGGACCCCATGGAATTGTCTTGACATGCTCAACAAGTTCAAAAGATCCCAAATACACAAGATTGACAATTGAATTACCCAGTCAATTCATCAATTTTGACTGTATACTGAAAAGTCAAACTTTGACTTTTTGGTCAAAATCAAGGGTCGAGATTCATTTTTCATCAAAACATGCCAAATCATGAAACTTGTTCATCAAGAAATCAAGAATCACAAATTAGGGTTTGAAATGAAGATTTTTCATAACTTAGAATTTTTCTAAGTTATAAAAAACCCTAATTTTTTCCTAACTTTGTCCCACTTTCTCACCAAGATTCATTTGGATTCAAGCAAAAGTCAAAACATGAAAGTTATAGCCTATTGCATAATCTACAACTTTGATTCACAAAGTTTTCCCAAAAGAGGCTTGTATCTCAAGTTACAATTTTTGGAACAAGGGTACTAAACCATTCTTAACTTAGAGAAAATTTGACCTATTTTAGGCAAGGTTTTTACCTAACTTCAAGACCATTTTCACATACTTCCACTTGGAATTTCAATTTTCATTTCAAATATAGATTGTAGTACACATTCCAAGCTTTCCAAAATGTCTAAGAACTCATCAAACAACCTCATGGTTAGGGAGAATCGAATTTTGCAATATGGGAAAAACTCACTTTGTTCATGACCAAATTCCATGTTCATACACTTAAGCAATTTGCAAATCAGCATGCATTCCTTGATTACAGGCCCTAAATCTCTTTCACACTCATAAATTTAATGCAAACTCATTGTGCCAAGACCATGTTCTATGTGTTC